AGAAACAAACATCTTACTTTATGCTATTAAGGTGAGCAAGCTGGCATGGTGCATTCTAAGAAAAAAAAGTTGTTTTAAAGAAACATCTTTCCACAGTCTTAAGTTGTAAAAATCATCATAAATTCCCTCCTTCTACATCCATTTTTGTTTAAGATTAATTCACTAATTCAAGTAGAGTCGAAAAGGAGAGAAGAAGAGGCAAAGCAAAACTCAGCATGTGTGAAAATCTACAAGCATTAAATAGCTAAACAAACCCTAACTCCCTCAGTGTTGCAGTAAGGTCAAAACCTTTCAGCATTGTACCAGTGTGTCAAAATATGTCAACAAACCATCATACTGCAAGAAGAAGAATGACCTTTCAGTTCTTTATGTTTGGGCTGCCAATGAAGCTTTGGATACTGGGTATGCATGAACAGTTTTCCTAGCCACTTGACAAATGCAACTCCCAAGGTTTCCTCCAAGTCAAGTTGTTATACCACTGGCTTTCAACTCACCAGCACAACTTTCTAAACAATTTTCAATTGATGAATATAGATCCTGTTATAGAACAGACAGCCATAAACCCACAGCATAATTCCCACTTTCCCCACCACCTACAATCAGTCAAATATTACTCAAACAGTCTTCATGTAACACATCAGGCAATTTTAAACTATACTGCAGAAAAAACATATGCATCAATTTGATGTTCTGATTCAGTCTTTGTTCACATATGGTTCATTCTTATAGTCAGCTATAATGAGTTTGATCAGAGCACTCTTCTCAGAAGGATCTAAGAGCAGATTAGCTATGTTTGTAACTGAAAAGAAATCTTAAACACTTTTTTCTTTTCACATTTACCTGAAAAAATTTGCTAATCTCAATCTCTAATAATCAATGTTTTAGACAACAGCAGCCACGTCTATCAGCTCCAATTAAGACTCATACAGTTCAGACTTTAATTTTTAATTAAAACTAGAAAAAAATTATAAAATTAGACAATATGGAAAGAAAAAAGATACAGTGTTCATTTAATCCTGAAATAATTTACAACTTATTCTTGGACCCTATTTTAAAGTGCAATCTATATTATTTCAAGTTCGTGCTCTTCAAATTGGTTTTGGCTACACAGACTACTCAACAGTGTTATCCTTAGGGTTTCATGAAATACACCAAGGCAGACCAGTAGACAAGGAAAAATGGGGCATCTCCTACATGTGCATTAAACACGTATATTCTGCACATGCAGCTGTCATGTTTACATGGTGGCAGTGAAAGCTGTAGACTGATTAGTGAATGCTACTGTTTTGGAGGAAAAAAACATAGAAGGAAGGGATTTGGTAAGTATATGAATTTGGTAAGTATACTAAGTTTGTTCAGTATGTAAAATAGCGTCTTCCTATAAACTTTCTTTTTCCTACTTAACAGTGAAAATTCTCAATATCTAAGAGCACTCTAAATTACAACTGTGCAAACCCACTGACAAGGTACACCGTGTGCATTTTTAATATGAAGCTTAATTTGAAGATGAGGTTGCAGCGTAGCACTGCAACTGAAAATTGCTTAACAATACCATTGATGTATGAGCCATAAAAAACCTTGCTAAGCTGTCCCTGCAGAACTCAGAGTAATAAAAAGGTGTTCTTTTGCACTGAGGTGAACAGACATGGTTGACTGAATCTAGGGAGCTGTTCTGTTAAATGAGAAAGTGCCATTTTTTTCCTGTCAGTACAGACCTATTTAAGACTCTCACACATTTAGTTAGCACAGACTACAGGATTTACTGAAACATACACATTACAGCAAAGAAACCGCAGTTACATTTAAAGCTTTCAATTATATTCTGAGCAGAATTAAATTTACATTTGTTACAAATGTGGAAAAAGACCCAGAAACTATTCCAGACTCACTCCTACTTTTCAGAGAAACAAACAAACAAGACCTGAATGAAAAAGGTCTAAAAGCTATCACCTTTGTTCCTTTCAAAATATCAAGACGTGTACTATCCATATCTAGCAGGATAAAAAGCTTAAAGCTTTTCTCTCCAATTTCAATTGAGTTTTAACTTCAGCCACCAGATTAGGTTTACAAAACCCTGAAGTACAGACTGAGTGTCACAATACATCTGTTATGAACTGATGCATCTTCTCCAAAAGATTTTTCCTTCAGGTGGAAAGGATGAATTCTTTGGGCTGAGAGATCCTTGGGTAGGCTAATTTATGAAATCATTCAAAATTGATTCACAGTTTGTCCGGCTATGTCTGTGTCTTTCCACTTAAACAGTTTCAGAGAGCAACAAAAGTTGACTAACTTACATGCAAACTAATTTGTCATGAAGTGTTCATTAACCTTCCAGTATCTAAGAGGAAGCTACAAGAAAGAAGGGGACAATCTCTTCAGAAGGTGATAGAACAAGGGGAAATCACTTGAAGCTCAAGCAGGGTAGATTTAGGTTGGATATAAGGAAAAAATCTTTTACAGTGAGGATGCTGAGGCACTGGAACAGGTTGCTTAGTAATGTGATGGATGCCTTGTCCCAGGAGACTTTCAAGGTGAGGCTGGATAAGGCCCTGGGCAACCTGGTCTAGCTGTGGTGTCCCTGTTCATTGCAAGGGAGTTGGGCTAGATGGCCTTCAGAGGTCCCTTCCAACTCTAAGAGTTTTATGATTCTATGATTAACCCAACTGCCATTATATTAGACGAAGCTTTGGTAATTCACAACTCAATCCAGAAGACATTATGATAGTGTTAGTTTGATCAAACAGTAACAACAGGATTTGTATTTACAAAACAGCAACAAAAAACAAACAACCCAAACAACAAACAAAAAGAATCCATACAATTATACCTAATTTCCATAGTTAAACTAACATTAAATTCTTGACTTAGGGTGTAACACATTTCAGTAAAGAGATTTCTAGTTTCCTTCACGCTAATGTAAGGTCATTACATATGTAAGAATCACCAGTTTTTATAGTTATTTTCAATAAAGAAAGCTAGGCAAATTCTGAAAACGACTTACAAATCACCCTTAATAATCAACATGTCAGTTCAGTCTAGCTTTTGCAACATTACGGGTACTTGCTGTACAGGTACTCACTTCAGTGAGAGATGTTATTCCAAGTTTGAATTTGCAATAACAATTATGAAAATGATAAAATTAAAATGAATTTAGATAATTCTGGTTTCCTGATACAAAATTTCTTTCAGAAATGTCAGGTTCAAAGGGTACACATTATTTTCAGGTATTTTACACATTTTATAGTTCAAACCAACATGCAGATAGTCATCTTGTTTGGCTCAAATAGAAGGAGACTGCAAGTTCAGCTCTGCAACAACAATTTTACTGCAAACATTAAATGGATCAGTGACTTCACTCTACTTGTCTATTCAACTTTCCCCTCACCTCAAGTTTGTATTTCTATTAATGTTGTCTATATAAAGTTCAATTGTTAGAGCTGTTTTTCCTCTTATGCCATCATGCACCCCCTCAAACATATCATTTTTCCTCAGAAAATATTCTAGCCAGTACATCTAATGGACTCATCCTGGCCTGAGATGCTCCATCCAATCTTATTTACACTACTGTGCAAGTTCAGCACCATTTGCATCAGCATCTTTCCCGTGACTCTCACAATTTCCTATGTACTTAAAATTGTTTCTAACTCTTGAACTCTGGTTATATATCTTACAAATTCCTTTCTATAATTTTCTTTAGTTCAGCATCTTTGCCCAACAATAGACAGTCTTCCTGAGGTTTCCATAACCTCAGTTCAACCTCTCCAATTCATTGCTCTTTGGGATTGTCTAGCAAGAGTAGGCCCTTCTCATACCAACAAATATTGTTTGTTGTATGCAGACATAATTACGCAGTTATGTTTTCTGACAGCGTTACTCTTGAGATATGGCTTCTCTCTGCTGCTTCCTACAGAGGTTGCTTTATTTCCCAAGCTAAGGCTAGCAATTTTCATCTTAGCATTTTTTATACTTAGATGAAAAACAATGGACACCGCAGACTAGTTACTGATATTGGTATAAGCTGTTAGTTACATTTTGAACCATTTTTGTACCATTTTCTCCACCCTCCATTAGATTTCTCAGAAGCTGTCCGAACACAGAGAAGGTATCTTAATCTATACTTTTACAAATCCTTTATTAAAACTATCATTTACCTCTCTAACTGCCTTACTAAGCGTTCCACCACATACAAAGATGAAATTAAAGATGAGTATCTTATTATTATTAGTTTGGGAAGAAAAATAGTCTAGTGAGAAGACTGCTATTACCTTGGAAAGATATACAACAATATACAATAATGATCTTCCTTTTGAATTACTGAACTTTCTGTATTCAGTACTGAATTTCAGTACTGAAATTACTGAAATTTAAAGATTGAATTGTAACAGTCTTTAAAAGAAAGGATTTTTATGAAAATGAAATCAACACTCAAAAATTAATGTCCAGCATGACTTATTTCTCTCCTCATATTCCTGCAATCACTTAACATATATTAGCTTGAAAAGAATACATTATTATTATGTAACATGTAGATAACATACAGAAGAACATTTTAGCAAACAAAAGCAAATCAGAATTGTGTTAGACACACTGACAGTCAGCAATATTTTCTACATACAAGGCCTACTCTTTAGACTATGAAGATTTTAAAACTAGTTTGGCATCTTGCAAGTATTACAGAATCTTCCTTTAGTCAACTACTAAAAAAATTGAAATAAAACTTCTGTATCACAGCAGCTTATTTTGTTAAATAGCATTACTGTAAAAACACCATATATATCTGTTGCATGTTAGCATTTAAGGTATTATCTTTTCACAAATACTTCAGCATTGAAATTTGACATACTAATTAATTAAATTCAAAAAGCCAGATTAATAACACATATTTTATTCACATGGCTTAATACAAAAGCCATTTGTGCTTATTTTTTTCCCACTAACTTCTTTAAAAGAAAATTTATCTTATTTTTATCTATATGAAAAAATAACAGAAATGTACCTACCTATTCCAGTAGCTCCAAAACTGGTCCTGCAAGTAGGCTTGGTGGCTACTTTCATCACCAAATGAGGCTTTGCTTTCAATCCAGTGAATTATGTGTCCTTCAACAGCTGGGGTGACAGCAAAAAAAGTGAATTGCAAAAATCAGACTGAGCAGTCTTAAGAATATGTTTGGGAATACCCTATTTAGCCCCCAGTCTACCACATAATTCATGCTTACAATAGAGTTACATATATTTTTCAAATATGCATATAGATGATGTTTTTTTAAAAAATAACACGTATTTTAATGGATAATTATTTCAATTTAAGTTTAATTACAGACCGGACTAAGGTGCAACTGAATCCTACTTTCAGCCTTTCTTTGGTGGAAAGGAACTGAAGACTTCTGGTGATTATCACAAACACTTAATTAAGCTGCTAAAGCTAGAAAATTCTTAGGCCAGTGTGGAAGGTGTGAGAACAACAAGAAAGGTTATCATAGATATATATCTGCCTCCTGACTTTTTCAAAATGAGTAATGCTTCAGCAGGAAGAATTTAGGAATAAGAATGACTATGTGAAAGATCTGATTTGGAATTTCTGTTTCTTGGATTTGCACTGATTGATGTCTTTCCTTATTTCTTGCAGGACTGAATTTGCAATATTAATAAAATCCCCTTTTTTGTTTGCTTGTTTTTTGGTGAAAGAAAGCCCTGTCTGAAAGTGATAAACTGATTTTGCATAAGAAATCATGACAATCACTCAAAAAGATCATCCATTCTTCAAAAGGGCAATGTGGGATATCAGTACTGAGTTGAGGAAGTCTTAAAAAGCTTTTTAGAAGATTCTCATAAATATATTTATTTATCTACTAGATAAGAAAGACTACCATGCTGAAAGATTATATCTGAAGAACTGCTGAGGGTAAAAATTCCTTCTACCACAAATGAATCAGTTATCTGTAAGAGTTCTTCTCTTGTTAATACAAAGAACAAAAAATGTAGTCATGAATATGGCTTTCATATAGGGCTTTAAGCTTTTTTATTTTCATTAACACATACCTATAAACATCTGCATAGTTGTGTTGTAAACAGATAAAGCAGAAGTCTTTTGGTATGAAAGGCATCTTACAAAAGGTGATTAAGAATCCTTTACACTTGGATAATGTTTATACTTTTTCTTCCATGGTTGAATCAATAGGTCATATTACCTCCTTACTTGACCGAAAGACCAGAATATGTAGATGAACTTTGGCATGACCTTTATATCTACTTTTATTCCTTCTTGCTTCCTGTGATGCACGGTTTTTTAAAAAATAGAGAACTACTCCATGATAAACCTTTACACAATGACCTAGAGGTATAATGATATTACTTTAAGGCTGCTTTGAAGTTGATTTGGTCTCTAAAAGTTTAAGACAATTACAGGTATTTCACAGTTAAGCATACAAAGACAGTGTTTAGAACAAGTTAGACTGAGTGGGGATTTGTGGATTCCCACAATTGATTGCTTTTTCTATTTTTATTTTTGTGATAATGAGACTGAAGAGGAAACCTTAATACTATTATCTACTTGTATTTTGAGTAATACCATTCTGACCAAAAGTAGATGATCTTAAAATTACTGAGTAAACACAAAAAAACCCTGAGAAATATTTAGTATCTTGTAACATACTTCATATTCTTGTGTCTTAAGTATCTGTAATATTTTAGGATAAACACTTCTATACAAAATAATAACAATCCTTTTCAAAGACTTACCTACTGGCACTTCTAAAATAAAGTCTGGTGTTTTGTCATAACCCTTTGCACGAAGCTGATCTTCGGCTACACAGAGAGAACAAGACCTATTGTTTATAAAACTCTTCTATTAAGACAGCAGTATAATTAATTTTATTTTAAATAAGAATGTAAGAATTACTAATGCAGTCATACATATCTTTCTTATGCATGCAATGCTGTGTCAGATTAAATGAACCTTTGTAGAAAACCTGAAGCATGGATATAAAAATGCTTCTTTGTCATCCCTGCATTTTTATGTCTTCATTATAAACATCATTAATTCAAGCTGTCATACAGTATTTTATAACCTCCAAATATTCAAAATAAAGAGATATATTCACTGATTGAAAGAAGAATTTCCTCACATTAGGGAGCTGTTGAGATTAATCCTACCAGCACCACAAACGTAGATATATTGCGGCTGCCTTCATGACTTTATCTTAATGTTAACACAAAGGTGTTTAAAACAAACAAACAAACAAACAAAGAAAAGCAAACAAGCACCAACATGACAATTCTTCTCTTCTAGAAATCTATTAAAGAAGAGGGACGTCACGATTCTAGTTTCCTTACTGTAAAATTAATTAAACACATAAAAATTTAAATATTTTCTTAACATAAGCTATTTAACTACTGATTCTGAATTAAAGCTGAGTGTTTTAAGAAATGAGTAAGAAAGAAGAGAGCAAAAAAAGAATGTTTCCTTTAAAAAAGAAAAAAAGCACAAAGCAAGCCCTCACTATTTTTTAAACCATTGTCCTTGATTTCCAATACCATTACATTGATATTTCCGAAACACCATTTCACCATTAGATTTTGGAGTGACCTGGTCATTCAATTCCAGGCATGGCTTTCTGTCTTCACCGAAGCTCAACTAATGGCACAACCTAGTAACAAGTAAGGCTGTGTAGCCCCTTAACACCTACTGGGCTGTTGACATTGTCATGCATCCCATTTGCCTTTCTACACCACCTTTGATTAAAATTAATGGTCCATTCTCACTGTTGGGTAGCTTATTTCCAATCCATTTATCAGGTTAGGACAGTAGTTTCATGGCCAATGTTCAGAACTCAGTTTTAGAATATTTTGTGCATATTCTGAAAGGTCAGCAATTTGAGTCCAAGCAACCTTTTAATGACAAGAAAAATATATACACATAGAAATAAAAATATTTTAAAATATATATTTTTAATATTTAATGCCTTCCTTCCCTTTCCTTGTTGAAGAAAAGAAGTCTGATGTCTTTTTTATTTTTCCAATACAATGAACTAAGTAATACTGCAAGTAGGACAGCAGTAATTCTGAAAAGTTGTACGTTCAATTAAGTGTAAACTACACTTGTGGATTATTCTTTTTGACAGCTATAGTATTTCTTTTGAAGAGCATTTCTTCACAGTAAACACACTGCACTTTAAATGCAGGTCTCTGGAATGCAAAACTAATTTATATTACCTGGTCAACTACTAAATTTTCATAGGATTTGGAGCCAGACTTGACTGTGGCTACTTCCAAACTTTGACTGTTAGATATATGGATAAAATATGTTCAGATTAGCAAGGTGCTGGCTTAACAGAACCTATGGTCCTTATGCCACAATAAAAATGAATATAATTCCTTTATCTTGAAAAAACAAACACCCAGTTTCATCAAGCTCTGTTGCAAGCAGTCTAAAAAGGATAACAAGATATCCCCACTGAAATTTTCATGTAGGGAATACACAAACAGTAATAGAAAATTCAGACTTTTCTATCATATGTAACTTTTCCAAAGTTATAAAGTTCAAAATAATTGAAGAAACAATAAAATAGAATTATTTTGCTTCACATGATTGTCAACTTACATCAATAATAAAAGTGTTTTTTAATATATTTTTCACCATTTCTCATAGTTCAAACTGTTAGGGGAAGCCAAGTGAAAACATTCAGAAAAATTTTTTATACAGAAATCATATTCTGTTCCAAACCATGAGACAAATAATTTCAAAAGTACTCAGACATCCTCAAAAATGAGTCCAGTGAGGAGTATTAAACACCGTCTCAAACATCTTCCAAATTGACCTGTCAGGATATGTTATCTGCCCTGTTTTCCAGTGTAGTGATTTTTGTTTGCATAAGGTAAATTTCCTTAAATTTCTGATACTAAACATCTAAACATATTTTATCCATTCACCCAAATCACCCTTTGAAAAGATTTTTTAAGCTCAAACCCCATGAAAAGAAAGTACAATCTTGTCAGCCCATAAATGTTTTAGATTGGTACAGAAGCTGTAGAGGTATCATTTTGCACACTTTCAAAGATGTTTCAAAAGATTTGTTAGCTTTTATATGCATCAAAATAATGGCTTAACAACTACTTGAAAACCAGATGATGGCAGTTAAAGCTGTTCATCCTAAAATATGAAAGTTACACTGAAACACTGAATTTGTCCACAGGTTGCTGATCTGTTTGGATTTCCAACACATCTAGAGCTTTATCCTTACTTTAAACTCAATCTTAACCATTTTTTAACAACATGGTCTATTGAAAGATGTCCATACCATCTTTCCATGATGGCAGAGGTTGGAATTAGATGATCTTTAGAGTCCCTTCCATCACAAACCATTCTGTGATTCTATGAACTCGTCATTGTTTTTATACTAGCCTCTGGATATAACAAAGAAACCAAATGTTCTTCTAATGGTGTATCAATATGCAGCAACTGCACATTTTTGGTTACAGCAAAAAACACCAACCAGATTTCATGATTTATATCCAGGCTACTAAGGGACATCATGATGGCACCCAAAGAAGGTTAAGATTCTAGAAAGATCAGTTATATATCTTCCTATTATAGCTGAAACCTTTCCTAATATATTCTGGAGCAGGCAAAGACGTGAAAAGATTGAGTCAGGCCGTTTGTTAAATCTAGAAATTCCTGGCAATTCAGCAAGGTAAGTGAATCAGTAAGGAAGGGAAGGCAGTCAGCCTATTTTGAGAGAATGTTTTCATTGATTACATAAATCCCAAGCAAAGCACTAAAGATTTGAGAACTGTTTCTGACGTAAAGAGGAAGTTATGAGCTTCTCATGAACTATGCATTACTAGAATGCAAAACCCAACAGTTTGTGCAGGTTACCAATCAATTTCTGGGAGAATCTGGAGGTGTTACTTCTGATCTGCAGGCTTTGAAAGCTATCTGCTCTAAAAATTAATCATCTCTCTGTCCTTAAATGCTGTCAGGCTTTTTTTCTTCTGTAATATAGTCTCCCAGGTGAAAATAACTAATAGGAAGAACTTATTATCCTAGAAGAGTAGTATACCAGAGTAATACACGAACATGAAATGGCAGCAAGAATTTTGTTTCTTTCATACGTGGGTTAAAAAGTAAAAGAATTTTAAGTGCAGCAAGCTAAGTCCCAAGCTACACTGGAACTCCATCTCACTGATAGCCAAGCCTGAATCTGCTAACCTATAGGAAATACTGCCATCTCTACAGTTTTCCAGAGGTTCTTCTTTGAGTGTTAAGTAGTTTAAGATCTAGTTTTTGAGAAAAATTTTACTGCAAGGGTTTCAGTAAGGTTCATCTTATGGATACTTAGGAAAATATTTTTTGTTTCTCTTTTTTTTTTTTTTAGTCACACTCCGAACCTCAGAGACACATCCCACAGAAAGAAATAATAAACCAGTTAACATACCTTAAATCATGAATAGATGATACGTAACTACACAAAAAAACTAAACAATAAATTAAACTGCCTCATTTATATCTTTTAATGCTGACAAGTTAACCCATTCTAGACATTATGATTTGACACTACAAATTTCTTAGAGCTTATTTCTAAAGACAAAATTGATGTTTACCCAAGGTTATGAATCAATAAAATTTAAATCTGATTTGTGTACTATACAAGCTTGCACAAGCCAAAAAAATGATAATCATTGGGTTGAGGATCCATTAGAGAGTCTAGTCCATTCTCCTGTATCATGACAGGATTGATTTCATTTCCAGCTTTGATGGATGAATGTCAAGTCTAGCCTTGAATTTTTTATTGAAGGTGATTCCATAACCTTCCTTGGCAGCTTGTTTTATACCTATTGTGCCTAGAACAGTTTAGTATTTTAACTCTCCAATTACAGCTTAAGTCTATTATCTCTAATCTTTGAGCCACATAGGGAAAAATATCTTCTCACATTTTTGTAGTATCATTTGCAAGTTTGTATGTAACAGAAAAATAAATTGTTCCTTAATCATATGGACCAACCTTTTAAAAATCTCAGTATTCTTCCTAATTTCTTCGACTCGTTTAAGGTTTATCCTGAATCTATTTTTACTGGTAAAACCAGTTATATCCTTTAATTATACAAACTTAGTACAACACACATCTTTAAAAAAAGAACAGGAATTCACTTTCATTTTATCTAATCACATAAGGAATTCAAGATTTAGAAGTCAAGTTTATAATCAGGGTAGGAGAACTGACCCTTTAAATAATAATCACTGTTTTAATGATACTAATATACAAAAATGTTCTGCAGGCTAAAAGGAAAACAACAACAGAAAACAACCTCCTAACCAATTAATCTTTAAAATAACTTTAAATACAGGGATTTGCACTGTTTGAAGGCAGTGGGAAAAAATCTGCAGAAACTGCACAGAAAGCCAAATGAGTGAATCTTCTAGCAGTTCTTTAATACATAAAGCATTTGGAAGCTGATATTTCTTATGCTTCCTCCTAAGTCTCATAGATTACAGCTAATATCTCATGACACCAAAAGTAATACTGCAGCAGATATTAAAGCATTTTTTTTTCAGCTACTTATTCTATTAAATATTAATTGCAAGCCTCTGCATGTACTGTATATATAAGGTATTAGGTAACTGAGTTCCTGTTCAGTTCTAAATCAATAAAAGATAACATGTACAGCATCAATCATTTTTTACTCTTCTTTTACTAACTAATACAAAGAGCACTGAGCCTTATTTTTTTCTTAAGTAAACAGTCCCGCAAATCTTTAAAGTTAAGGATTCACTGGGTAGCCTTTATCACTGATTCTTACCTATAAAAGAAAGGTTTTTTTCCAAAAGCATTTCTCGCAGCAAGACTTCATGTTCATGTCCTATAGCACTGATAGCTTCAAGTTAAGAAATAGAAGATTACTTTGGAAAATAACCAATGTCACAACAAAAACCATAGATAAAGTAATTCATGATAAAATTTATTGGCCTTCACTTTCATTTTGGAGTAATTAATGATTTGAACACTGTGTCTACAGATTTCTTACAGGTATCTGCAGAGGTATTTGGCACTTTGTAAAAATCAGACTACTGTATACAGCATCAACATACATTTTACAAAATTAAGATCCATTACATAACATTTATTCTGTACACATAAGAGTGATATTTATATTCATACTATTTTTTCTCTCAAAATTTAAAATAAAGTACAAGCTTGAAACCTGTGGCCACGTAGCTTTTAAGTTACTCCTTAATTATTTATGTATCAATTTTCTAATTCAGTAAACAATTAAATAAACTTTTTTGCTTTATATTCTGAAATTGTTAGGCATTTAATACATCTGAAACGTCTTACTGGTACAAAACATCTTCTTAATTGATTTTTCAGAAGCATGAACTTATGTCAGGGAAAGATGAAATAATATTTTACAGTGAAGTCCTTTCCACTTCACTGACAGCCTGTTGAACCAATGTGCTATTCTTAGCAATATGCAAAAAAGTCACTGCTCAAATATTTTTAACGTATCCATCTAGAGGTCAAAGTTCTGTTCTGGAAGCTCTTAAGAAGAATCTTATGAAATATCACAATAAAGAATCTTACATTAAAAACAACTAAATTCTTGGTTCTGTTTGGAATAACTTCTTCAAAAAAACTATAGATCATCTTACCATTACAGTTAATTACTTAAATTATATCAACGTTTTATGCTGAAGAAGAAAAATCTAATTACAAGAAATCGTTTCATACATACTAAGTTTTAATCAATTGAAGATATATATTACATTACACTGTACTAGTAGTCACAGAACAAAAATGTGGGCAAATGAAGAATGGCAAAAATGTAAGAAAAATATCACAAACAGATTTTATAATGCACCATAAACAGAAACACTTAGGCTATAATAATACCTGTTATTGATGTATGGCAATGACCATGAGGCAAAACTTGTAAATAACCTCACAAGCCATCTTCTACTCATGCAATCTAGCAGCCTAGTTTCCCGTAAGCATCTGAACTATTACTGAAAAATAGCCTCTTGGCATTTACAAAGAGGTTGACTTCATACTTTAGTCCATGCATATACAATTAGATAGTTATATTTAAAATCAATATGCAGTCCTTCAGAAGACATTATGCTTTTAAAACCTTAACTTTAAATTGATTTTTAACTATTTTATGCACCTCAAAATTAACATCTAATTCAGCAACATACTTGAAGATAATGCACTCACACAGTCAAGTATTAGGCTTTTCTGTACCAGAATGGAATTGAAAATCTCCCTCATTATTCTCACTGATGTCACTGCATATTCAGTAACTTAACTTGAGCCAGAATCTGGAGAGGATAGGGAAGATTATTTAGACTGCAGACAAGTTATTCTTAAAAATTGCTATTATTATTTTTAAACATGACATTTTCAGAAGACTTTTGCCAGATTGTTCATTGACAACAGTACCAAATTTTGGATTAAAAAAATAATGAACAACTGTTTCAAAAGTAGAACTTGTTAGATTAATCACTTTGTCTAATGTTGAAGCAGTCTCACCGAAAAACAACAAAAAAAAACCCACAAAAAAGTCCAAATCACAAGTATAATTAGAACTCTATCCTGCTGTTGTTAAACTTAATGGGAGCAGGACTGTAGTAGATACCATGCGAATATTTGGAGCGGAAAGAATACATTTTAAGAGATAACCACCACATGCATTATTACTACAGGAAGTGCTTCTCATGCATAACTAAAAATTATTGCTGGTTTCCTATTCTACTGCTGAACAGTGAAATCCAGATCTTACTCCAAACTGGATGCAGAGATTTATGGAAGGATTTTCTATGACTTGGGACAAAGACTATGAATTTAAAATTGTTTGTTCAATAACAGATTGAAATAGTAGAGCTACTTATTTAGGATTTCATTAATACAAGCTTGAGTTTACAAAAATAATTACTACAAAATTTGAAATAAATACTTAGTCCTGAAAATTCAGTGCTGTGTGGAGTTCCCCCAGTAGCCTCACTGGATTCTGAGGATCTCTAATCACTTAAACACTACCATAAAAAAGAAAAAAAACTCATAAAATTCAAGCTACATAATGCTCTTTTACTATATCACTACAAGGTTAGATACATTTTAAAAAGTGGTAGTCAGACAACATATCACAACTTGAATTGCACTTGAAAACATTCTAATTAAAATTCATATTCAAAACAAATGCTATGAAATTCAACACTATCTATGCAACTTATTAATTTAATCGCAGAACAGTTGAGATTGGAAGGTCCTTCAAGAGATCATCTAGTTCAGCCTCACTGCTTAAAGCAGATTAAACTGGTCTTAATAGAAAACCAGATATGACTTTTGACTAATCAAAACCAAAGAGGTTCAATCAGGTATATGAATGTGTAGCCACCAAACTGACAACTTCCCATACTCCATCAGATTTTTTTTAAGCAGTGTAAGAGAAAGCTCTGCAGTGACCCTCCAGCTGATTTAATGTAAAACAGAGGAGTATGAAATGTGTTTTGTGAAGCAGAACTTTATGTCAGGTTAAAGCTAGACACATCTCTTCCACACAGTCTAAGCTCGTCAATTGTGCACCTAAAATTTTATGGGAAAGGATACTGTTTGATGCAGTCCACCAGTGGTCCATAACAACAGTCATTCACAGTACACTGCAGACAAATAAGAGAAGTAGTATAGTGATGGGCAACTACAAAACCATTACAGTTAAACAGTATCTTAAAAACAGTAATTACTTTTCTTCAGAAAGGCTATCAGATGCCGTTCAGATTTAATCACAGAAAACAAAAACTGCATGCTTTTATTCACTATAAAAGCAAGCTATTAAAAAGTGAAATGTTCCCCTCACAAATATTGCCTTGCCATTTATGGTGCACCCTGACCTCAGTGATAGTTTACGATGACAGTAATTAAATGAGGTTTAAAATCTTTTACTCTGCTAGGCAGATAACAGCATTGCCACAGGAAAAAAAAAAAAAAAAAGAAAAGAAAAGAAAGA